AGACATATATATGCTTCTGCTTGTCTTCCACTACAATGTGCGGTTGGTTAGCTACCACCAGTTTGTCCGTCTGTATCTGGAGAAATCTTTGAATGTCTGTCTATTATTTTTAAATGTTACTAGTACTGAGATGAGACCTGAGTAACTGCATCTCTTTCTATCACATTTTCTTCATGATGAATAACAATAAAGGATCCTTGATCCCAATAGACATTATATTTGTATACGTGTGTTCACAAGTAGTATTTGTACCTAAGTAGATTTTTTTTTTAATAACAATCAGCTTATAACGGGTAATATGTGGAGCCAAGTGTCTTCAAGTGCTTTTTGATGCGTGTCTTGAAACTTCTAATCTATATGACAACTCCTCATTTTGAAGCATTATCTAAATCAACTTAAATTTCAGTGAACACTGGGGAATATGAACTTGATCTCTCTCATTAAAACAAAAAACCAAAAAAATGTTTGCTGACATTGCCCTCAAATATTTTTCTCTTGGTAATTATATTTCTACCACCAGCTTTGCCATTGTGGAATTCCTGTTAGAAGTGTGTTAGATTTCAATTCAGAATTCTTTGAATGCACAGCATGATATGTCCAGTCATGAAAAGATGGTTTCATCTGGCTTCCTGTTCTGTAGATGTACAACATAATTCCCTGGCTGATGAAGTGGCTACCTGGACCTCATAAGACAATGTTCACTCTGACACAGGAGGTAAGGGACTTTATAGAAATCAGGATCAGAGAACACAAAGAAACCCTTGACCCAGCGTCACCAAGAGACTATATTGATGCCTTTCTTATAGAAATGGCAAAGGTGAGTGTTGTGTTTGATCTCCATCATGTTTGTTCATTTTGGTGTTGTAATGCAACCTGAAATATAAGATATTTTAATTTCTGTTGTTTGGACCGTTGATAGAACGAGGGCAAAGATTCAAGTTTTTCTCTCAGTAACTTACACGCTTGCACCATGGACCTGTTTTTTGCTGGAACTGAAACTACTACCACTACTTTACGTTGGGGGTTGCTTTACATGATCTACTACCCTGATATACAAGGTGCGTGTGTAATACCCAACAGTACTGTGTATTTTGTCACGTCGGTCTTGTACTGTGAGAAAAAGCATGCAGGTTGTGTTAGTCATCCACATAATACACAAAACAGAGTTTATGATAGTCTCATCATTTTGGGGGCATTTTTTTAGCATGTTTTGATTTCTAGTTGGGATTCAGTTAGTTTCCAGAGTAGATCCTGGCATTATTTAGCAGAAAACAGGAAGACCACATATGTGGTCATGAAGCTGACAATATAAAATCAATATGCGAAGATAGCCGATTGACATTCATATAGACTTTCCACCTTTCAATAAACATATGTTTGAATGTTTCGTAGCTTGTTGCGTTGACAAATATTAACAAATTC